AAATTATAGAAATTTTAAGTTACTTTAAGTTGACAAATTTATAATATAATCTTTCTTTATAACCGCATGTAACTTTGTATATGTTGAAAAAATAAAATCCTTATATACACTAATTAATATTGAAGAACTATAAGTACTGAAAATTAATATTTAATACATTTATTTTTCTAAAAATACAAACATTATGTTCTGTACATTTCCTTTACAGAATCAACTTTTTTCTTAAGTCACTGGATATATTTTAATATTATCTTAACATGATTAAATTAACATAACCTAACATAAAAAAAGAACACAATAACTACAAAAATTATAAAATATGCATAAATAATGTACACAAATTAAAGGCAAGTTTAATAAGACCTCACAAATTTAATAAAAGTAATAAAAAGAAGTGATTACATGATTACATACTGAAAAAAGTAAATGAAATCAGTATACTAAAAGTGAGATAACTGTTATCCCTTGTTGCATTTTAACGGAACATTTAAAAGCATCTAAACAATACAAAAATGAATATTAATTATAAAAGAAAAATGCCCGTTACTGTTTATGAAACTCTTAAATAATTATAAATATACCATGGTGCTCTACCCATCCAAAAAGCATAATGCAAATTTGAGATTACCATTAATTAGTAAAACTTTCAAAATCAACATTTTTTTAAAGTAACAATATGGTATTACTGCACGTTGCTAACTGACACGCTGATAAAATTAAGAAACTACACGTAAAATCATCAAATATCAATGCATGCTGCATAAACACAAACTGAAAAAAGAAACTGAAAAACACCTTACAAACCTGAAGCACTGACAGCGGCACTAAAATATACGAAAGAATACTCTTGCTCTCATTAGAGTACGAACTAAAATACACACATTAAGTATATTACAAGGGTGAACAGAAGAAACTGCAAGAGAGGTATAGAAAGTTCTCACACTTTATTTCGGGCGTTATTTTATTCTCGAAAAATTCTCTTTAAATCCGTAGAATTTCCGCACACAGAGAGTAAAATACTAGCATAGTATAACGTCAGAAGCAATCAAAGCGACTTCGTGAAAAAAAAGCACGGATCGTCGGAAAGTACGCCATTATCGTGAGAGATTTCCGTTTGGGCTTCCGAGAGAACTCGTAGCGGCCACCGCGACGCTCGATATTCAAGCACCAAAGCGTCACTTCACTTCACACAATTCACTCTTTCTTCCTATATTTCGTACAAACGCGACTCGAAACCTATATTATTCGATGAATGTAGTTATATGTGAATGTTTTATCGAAAAACCACCCTTGTTTGCGCGCGCGTATACACGATTTTCACCGACG